ATCATTGGTGCATTACAATTTTAATTCAAGATATTCTTGGTTCTTTCTGACCCCCCCCCCCCCCCCCCCCCACTCAAAAGGATTCTATTTGTGTTAAACTGCATGATACTATAGTATTAATGACTGCTTTGAGAGAAATAGTTGTTTTTATACGCTCAAGGGAAGGTTAGAATTGTGCTATTACCCGAGGCGTGCCGAGGGCAATAGCCCAATTGTAACCTTCCCGAGAGCGTATAAAAACAACTATTTCTTGAATATCAAAGCAGTCATTAATACTTTTATATGCCAAATAAAATAAAAAAATTAAAAAAAATAAAAAATTAAAAAACTTTTGTCGAAGATGGGATTCGATCTCTTGCGTACAAAAGGTGATGTAACTAAAATCACCGCCTTAAACCGCTCGGCTATCGCGCTCTGTTACCATACATAACAGTTTTTTTCTTATATATACATTAAAATGGATTGAAAACGGCTTCGCGTGGTGGATGCTTCGCGGCTGCTCCATTAACCAGGCCCTTCTTTTACTTTTGCAATGCATATTGGCACGAATTTAGATCAAGATCTATCGGCAGATGTTGTTTTTTTGTTTTTGGAAGTTTATTTTCGTCTTCATGTCAACAATGCAAGATAAAATTGTCGGTAAGATCGATCGAGATTCAATTGTATTGAAATTACCGACCAATTCTTCGCACACGTACGGTATCCTCGATCGCTCAGACCATTTTTTAACATGTAAACCTATGGGGTAACCATGGAGACTGAACTATTTTCCCAATAACCATGGTTACTGGGATTATAGAACTGTTTTAACCATGGTTACTGGGAATTTTACAGATATAGTTGAAGTTTATGAATGCAATTTCGACCAATCAGATGGCTGGATTTCTTAAGTGAGGTATATAATAAGAAATATAAAACCTTTTCAAGTATAAAAATCAAGAATTAATATGATCTCCAGACATTTTTCTTAGGTCTTAAAGGTATTACAAAGTTTTGGGAAATTTTGAAAAATGGGTGGATGTGATTCTTTACAATTTTGATATATTTTGATGCCCCTGTGGATGTATTAAAAACACCAGAAATTTTAGCCCCTAAAACACTTTTGCTTTCGAGAAAAATTGAATATAAAGATTTACCAGTGCTCCCGGTAAATTTTGATAAATTTCAAATAGCTCCTACGGCCGTACAATGGTAGCTGCGACCATGAAAATCTCAGAGTATGTAGTTGTGGTATATACTTTCCGAAGGAGAATAGCTAATTGGTCGATTTTAGTCAATAAACATTGTTTTAAAGGTTAATTAATATCTTGACCTTGAGAGGGAGCTATTCAACTTAAAGTGTTTATTATTTACAATTTCATAACTTAAGAGTCAATTTCGACCGCGACAACGATCACTGAATATTGTAGGAACGTATATGCTTCCAATATGTTCATTTGAACCAAATTCATGACCCCATACCAAAACTTTGTATTACCTTTAAAACCATGGACATCATGATCTGCTTCACACACCAAAAAAAATAATAGTAAGAAAGAAAAAAATTGATTTTAAGGTACCAGAAAGTTAAAAGTCAAATATTGTCATACAAGGCACCTTTACAGCACTACATTAACAATGATGCATGAATGGATTTCAAAAGCCATGACTCAGAGTAAATCAATCTAATTTCCTTCGATCATACCTCGTATTTGCACAAGAGATTCACAAGATCATACAAATCTTCCATCTTTTAAAAACTACATGAGAATTTCCTCAGGGATTAACCTGGATTTGTACATTTGTCATTTGGCTCATTATGAAGCATGACATGTTCATGTGACAATGGCTTCCAAGTACAATGCATGCATCCTTGCATGGGTTTAATGGCCAATTTGGCATCTTGGCTATTGATGCCAAACCTCTGCAATTCTGCACGTGAGCACAAACTAAATGGCTGCTCCCAATTATGAAAATGAGCTCCCTCAGGGATAAACCTTTTTACTTGCTGGATTTCTTGATGGAAATATATCATTCCACACAATGCAAAGGGCATTAGAGCTTGAATACATGGTCCTTTTTTACATTAATGTCAAAATTTCCTCCCAGGATGGCCTTGATTTTCTTAAAGATTAAAGAAGATGAAACCATAAGTTTCTTTACACCTTGCAAATAATCACTAACACCAATTTTAGAGGTCCTCTCAGAGCAATCATGAGGGGGGAAAAAGTACAATAAACCTATTTGCCTTGCAGATGATGAAGACAAATTCTCACAAATCAAGCCATTTTACAAAACATTTCAAAGTTTTCACCTTTTATAATCAAACAAACGTGACAGGATACTCAGAGTCGGAGACGTACATGTATGAATATTACACATTAACGAGGCCTACGTGTCATAGAAGCAATGTAGCTGGCTCCAGACAGACAGACCTCTGCACAATACAGAAATATACAAGGGCAAAATGCTTGTTATATTGGGAGGAGCAGAGAGAAAACTGAGAAGTTCCGCCCTCGTATCGAATGTTTTTCTCTCACTTTTGAAGGCTAAACACCTCTTCCTATATACATGTACATGCCCTGTATCCATGCAGACTGCATGTCTTCAGCCATAGTGTATGGGAAACGATAGATATTATTTCTCAGATTTGGAAATGAATGATTTAAGTTGGAAAAGTGAATGTCTCCCATTACGTACTGTATACATGTACACTCATCTGACTTATGTTCATTAACTGCAGCAGGTGGATGTAGAGCTAAATGAACTTTTGTTGATAAAAATATTCAGATATTCCCTGGAAACATTTTCACTTACACTGTAATTATAATCCTTTTCAGCCTCATTTGTCAACAGTACACGTGGAAATATTTATCTGATTTGAATTACTGACTTCTGCCTAATGTAAATCTTATAATCTCAACTAAATTCAATACCGGTACACAAATATTCACATTCAGCAAAATGTCATCAAGATTTACGATTTATGGAAAGTGTGGCATTATGGATTCAGGATAAAAATCATCCTTCATTAAGCTGCATGCTGCCGGTACAATAATTAATTCGCTTCATTCTGTTTTGACATCTACATGTACTAAGACAGAAAATAGAGTGTTTTACATGTATGTACAGTACATCACCCCCCCCCCCCCCTCTAAAATATTGCATAGCAACCATTCTGAAGAGCTCTAAGCCAAGTTGAGCTGAACTGATTAATCAGGCTCAGCAGTGAATTATGAGAATACTGGTATCATCTCGTTGATTATTGATATGCACGTTCAGCATTTATGAAATTACCATGCGCCACTAGCAAACAATTTTCCATCTCTTTTAATTGGGACCATTTTACTGGTTTCATCTTGCCTAAATCTAGATTGTAAATTTGAATAAAGAAAATTGTATTTCTGAGATAAAGTCATTCGGGTCAATTGTCATCTTCATTAACATTGTGATTTTTAAAAAAAGATGAAGATGTGCACTAAGTTCTGTATACCATCATTCATGTAAGTATGTTTTATACTGCATATATGCCTTTTACAGGTTCAGTTCATACCGGTACATGTATGTACATGCAGGTCCAATACTGCAAAATTCACTTTATGACTCATTTTCAGACAATGAGGTTTTAAAGGTACTATGTCCCTTTTGCAGCCAACCTCAAATGCTGTAGAACTTTGCAGGAATTATGAATATGTCATGTATGTCCTATCTGTGAAATTTGAACGTTAGCAGTGTCCTCATATTCAAATTATGCAAGGAAAACCGTTTACTTGCTAGACTTCACTGTCAGACACTATTGAGTGACTGACTGGCTTTTTTTTTTTCTTCTTTGGTAATAACATAATGTACATGAAAAGAGTTGTAAAGGGTACATGAGCATTTGTCTACATCAATAACCCACTTCTTGTGATGGCCAAGATTAAACTGATTGAATCTTTGTGCAGCATAAAACGTATGACCATTCGGTACAATTGTCTGAAAATCAAGACTATTACTTTTGGGCTCTATAGCCCTAAAGTCGATTTGACAATAGTCGTTATTTTCCCACTTGAAGACATTTTCAAGCCCCACCTTTTTTAGGGAAGTTCTAAATTAGTATTATCTTTCAAATGCAGTTGGAATTTAACTTTTTCATTTTTTTTGGCCTGCAAATGGGACATAGTCCCTTTAAGTGTATTCAACATGAACAAGGCACACAATCAATTACTTAAACTACAGTCAGGGGACGCCACTCACAGCAATTAATCACACTGAGTGATTGAATTCATAATTTATGTGTAGAAAGGGAATCATCTAGCTTTTGTTTAATCCTAGCATACTGGTTTTGACAGAATCATACATTTCAATGCAGATCTTATTACAAGATTTGAGATGGAATGCTCATAGCATTGATTTCATTTAAAGCACTATTCCCTATCCTTCATGTATTTTCACATCCCCTCAAAATAGACAGCAGATAAGTGCAAAGAATTCTAAGAAAACTAAAGATATAAGTCTGTAATGCAGATGTACATGTACAATGTATTTTTCCTAATACAAGCTCGATACATATTGATATTGTGATGAAAATACATGTACAACTAGTTTCCATTCACTATATTTACTCTAGACTTTCTTTATATGAATCTTATAAAACAATGAAATCAATCACATTTCAGCATTATGTCTAGTAATTTGACTAACATAATCATATTAATATTTCCTTTCTTTGTCAGAAATTAAAATTGTTATTATTCACATTGTTATGTATGCTTTCAAAGTGAACACTAGAGAAGATACCGAGATATAAAAGGAATCATTTTGACACGAGACAATATCCTGAAGGAGAATACTGTGTACTGGTACAAATGTCAGTGATCGCTACAAGGCCTAGCGGATAAGAGGTGGTGATGTACAATGTAGGTCACTCACTCAAGGCAATAATCATTCGCTATCTTCAGAAGATCCAACATTCACACCTTACACAAATGGGCATCACACATGAAACGGCTTCAATCAGCAAAGCTATCATTCGAACTCACCGTCTTTGTGATTTGTTTGCATCTCAGTCAGAACCAGTTCATGGTGTTCTATTCAGCATGAAAGTGATATTTCCATTTCATAAATCCTATGATGGAGAGATGACGAAAGTGCAACCCAGCAAGCACCACCTGTGCCTGATCGAAACCAGTTCCATTTACTCAATGCTCTCCCGCTACCCTTATGCACACACCCTCCCTCCCTCGCAGTACACAGCACACTTTATGCAACCTCTAACAGGCACACAAACTGTGTATTAACCAATGGGCACACACACAAAGACCCACGTCATTGGAAGACACTAGGAGCCCGAGATACACAGGCATCCATCCCTTTCCCTCCACATAATGAGCTCATGAATATGCATAAGCAGTGCTGCTCCCATTACAATGCGCAGGGGAGTGAGAGAGGGAGGGTTGAAAGGAGGAGGCCGGAGGGGACGGGGCGGATGAGAGAGAAAGAGAGAGATGCTACTGCTAGCTGGGATCACATACGGTGCCCAAAGCTAAAATATCACGGTAATAATAAGGTGCCATTTGAAGCAATCACAAGCCAAGTGATTGGGTAATTTATTACCTCCCTGGGGGACTGGTTGCTCTGTCACTATTTGTAAAGAGATGAGCATGATATCTATTTTAAAGTACTGACACACATCATGTGCAGAATCTAATTTACAAAAACAAACATAACATTACATGATATTAAGGAATTTTTCATACAAATCTAAAGGTTAATGTGTAGACGATATATGTTTGTAAACCAGCAGTATAGTTCATGTACCTGCAGTGGCGGATCCAGGGGGGGGGGGGCCCGGGGGGCCTGGCCCCCCCCCTTGAGAAAAAAAATCATGTAAAATCACGTGATTTTTACCTTTTTTGGGGGGTTGGGCCCCCCCTGGCGCTCAAGGGGGGGTGCAAATAGAAAAAAATTTGACGACCAAAAAAAAAATTGTGCTCTCTACCCCCCCCCCCCCCCCCCCCCACTGAGCGACTTTTCAAATTTTCGGGAGCAAAAAAATAAAAAGTTGGGCCCCCTCCCCTAAGAAATCCTGGATCCGCGCCTGTGTACCTGTACTATTTGTATGCTCAAAGCAATGACATACGAGTCAGTTCTACCAAATCCTGACAGCTTTAAAGCAAATACTAACTGTAACAGTATTCACTGCAAATATGATAACAAAAAACACCAATTTCAAAAAAAAAATTCACAGAGCTTTACTGATTTCAGCTTGCTTCCCCAATGAGACAATTTGGTTGTCTTTTTCACAAAGAAGAGCTGCTAAAATGCATTTCCTTCAGAAAATATGCATTAAACGGCAGTTTTTATATAAGCAAATATATGCAAATTACATGTTATCTGAGCTGCAATTGAAAAGGCAGTTTTTGCATGTTTTGCATAGTAATTAAACTGCAGCATATGGCAAATATTGATCTTTGTTTGTAGGTGTGCTTCGAGCTTTCATAAGCACAAAGCCTTGTACATGTATACTAGCCAGTATTCTTTTTGATTGCGCCAGATGCCTGATTTAAAAATCAATAATCAAATGTACATGTACTATACATGAACAGTGAAGAAATACAAAACAAGTTACCGCAAATGCCAGATATTTGCAAACCATGAATAGCACAAAAGACAGGTCCTAAATGGTATCTAGACACCATGAAAACCACAACATTAAAAAAAAAAAAATTTACACAAAAATGACATTCAGAGACCTCATTTGCCCCCAAACTCCCTCATACCTACATGTATGAGTGTTCTGGTATTTTGGCAGGAGAGCATTTCACTTCAGACAGAAAATGGATGCCTGGCATAATCAGTAAGTGTCCTGTGTGTATGCACAAATACAGAACATAAACTGTAAATTTCAAATGGATGCCAGCATTGCTTTTAGCTTGTAACAATTGATTTGAATTTACAAATAATGAGATACAACAGATGACTAGGTATATATTTATCAAAACTTATAAAATCAAATATTGGAAAAACTGGATAATCATGTCTACACTCATAAGCCTGATAGGACCTGCATCACAATCTCAAGTACAAGTACATGTACCTGTACATACCTTGGCCCTGTCTTATAAAAGAGTTGTGATTGATCCAAATCAATCGTATGTCCTCCAATCAATCTTAAGTTTGCAGTCTCCTACATGTATTTCTTAAGTACAAAAATACATACATGTAGTTGCAATTGATATCAATTGTAAATAAGTTGCAATTAATATAAGCTCTTTATAAGACAGGGCCCAGACATACATTGTATACCAACCAAGCATTTTTGTAATATGATGGACATTAGTACAAGTCTAAATTTTGGTTATAGGTTTACATGTTTTCAAGGGGAACAATCATCAAGTAAAAATTAAATTGTGTACAGAGCTACATGTGGTGTTTATTTTGAAAATGATCTCCGATAGAGCGGAGGAGGAAGGAGAAGAAGAAGAAGAAGAATACAAAAAAAAAGAGAGCACTGTTGACTCATACAGTATGCCAGGTATTTTTTATACCAGTTGTACACAAATTATTTTGATGTGATTAAACATGTACTGGTCAGGCAATCACGATTTATAAAATATATACGTCTCCAATGTGTATAAACAGTTGAGTTGACTGTGGAGTGTGCACTACGAGTCTAAATCGCCAGTGGAGATACTTTCAGACTAATTATACCCATGCTCTCGTTGTTGAGTTAATTCCTTGAGCTAGCTGGGATCTCTCCACTCTAATGGGGGCGGTAAACTTCAATCTTTTTTTTTTCATGAAGCGATGGTGGGTCTAATATAAACTCGAGCTTGACTTGGCTTTAAGGACTGTAGTGAATACCTGGTGAAGGTCATGAACTTTGTGGAAATATGCTTTATATCTATAGTGCATCTTGTTCAGGCCTGATCTAGTTGATCTAATTTCATATTAATATGGGAAATCAATTTCTTCCATTATCTTTGAAAGCTCAATGAAGATGAAGATAAAGATAACATAGGTCAAGGTTTTTTTTGGGGATGGCTATCAAATCTGTTCGGAAGGGGGGGGGCATGTCTCAAAGCTAAGTATAACGACCACACCTCAGATCTTAGCACATCTGATCATCGAATGAAAGGGAACCAAAACCTTCATACCAAGTTGACTTTATTGTAAAGTTTAAAAGATTTGAATAAGATCAGTAAAAATTTGAACCAAATCAGGCAAGGAATAAGACTTTAAGGAAGTTAAAGTGGAAATTCAAAGAAAATCACATTGAAAATTGAAAACCCCCCGGAATGATATTAAGGACGGCATTTGTCCCCTCTTGAAATGCCGAACATACCGCAGTGTGTGCAGCTGAATATACAATGGCGTCTTATTTTGTTTACAAGCGACAGATTCTTTTATTTTTCTATCGCTGCATTTGTCATCAAAATAAAAACATGCGCAGGTTTAGAGTAAGGCAATACAATTAGCCTGACGGTAGTGAAGTAAGAGAAAGAGCTCAAGAGAAGATGAAAAAACAGGCACTGAAAATGTGTGAGATGTCATGGGACATCGTCTCCTTGTGCAAATCATGTCCATACTGTGATCTCACACATCTCGGTAGCGTTCGGAGAGCTCTTCAGGTGCTATGCCGGGGCTGTATTTAGGCGTTTTGTAATTTATAATAATCATTACTTCAAATGTTTCCAAGCATTGAATTTTGATAACCTTTTCGAAACAAAGTTTTAACTTTGCAAGAATGAAAATAAAGTTAGTTTTTAAAATCAATGAATATCTACTTTAAAGCTTTTTGAAATAACTTGTCACCGGAGGGCGATATTTAATTTGATGACAATCATTTGTGGACAACTCTCCATGCCTTTTGTACTTCAAATTTCATGTTTGTCCTTCTTTCTTGTGATTGAGATAATCTACTCCCCTGAAAACAAATGCAGATTGATATTCTACTTCACATTTTAGGAAGTCGGATCATGAACACGAATGAATAAAAAGAAGTGTGAAATTCCATGGTCAGAAAGCATGGAGAGTTGTCCACGAATGATGTCATCAAATTAAATATCGCCCTCCGGTGACAAGTTTTTTTCAAAAAGCTTTAACTTCCTTATTCCTTGCCTGATTTGGTTCAAATTTTTAGTTTTTCACTGATCTTATTTAAATCTTTTAAACTTTACAATAAAGTCAACTTAGTATGAAGGTTTTGGTTCCCTTTAAGTACAGAGACCTATACACTGTAGATAAGACCAAAGATGAAGTGAGATTGTACAATTTGATATCAATTCATGTTCAGAAAGTCCACAATATTCAGTAACACATGAAATACCACACAACCATTTATCTTAGACTACATGTAAGTGGCCATTAATCAACATGAAAAAAACTTATAATATTTTAGGAGCTAACAATTGTTTGACTTTAAGTTTAGAAACAATTTCATCTGAATTTTAAAGATCAATGTCAAATATATTAAAAAAAAGTGCAAAAGGGCAGGTCCAAGCTATTGGGATTGTGACGTACGGGACATTCAGAGACTTTAAACAAGAAATAACAATAGATGAAATCATTTATAGGGCTATCTTTTGGTATGAGTCTGTGGCTATTTTGGGCTAGTTCATTTGTGGAAAGTTTTAGTTCTGACCAATTCATAAATTAATTTTTAATATAATTAATGTCCTGCGTGACGTACGGGACCAGAGAATTTCTGACTTTTTCAAAAATAAGTTTGTCGTAAAAATTCTCTGAATTTAGTAAGTTATGAGATTTATGGTAATGATATCTTAATTCATTATGGAATCAAGCATTAATCACAACTATAACCATATTTTTCTGACCTTCCGTTGTTATGTAATATACCAAAACATAAATGTGTGTATGTGACGTACGGGACACGTGACGTACGGGACAACTTTTCCCTATGGGAAAATGCATTGAAATGAAGAATTTTCGTCAAAATTTGTTAAAAATGAACAATTTTAACTTAAATCAGTGACAATTAGAGTGTTTTAGAACCCAATTAGATCCTCTGGCCATCACTCAATATCCTCTGTGTTAATTTATGAGGTAAATCAATACAAATATTAACTTGAATAAAGAAAACAAATTAAATTACATTCATACACACACACTATATCACCATTTTTATTCCATTTACCCATCTATCATGTGCAGTCATGCTTCTTTTCTCATTTCTTTCATCCA